CTCTCCCGGCAAAACCTGCAGCTCCCGCGACTCCAAGTGTGAGGCCCCTGGGCCCTTCCCGCGGAATCGGCGCTGAGAAACTCCAACCCCCCTCCCGCCTCCCAGGCACCCCCGGGCTCGGGACTACAAGTCCCAGCAGGTGGCGCGAAACGAACGCCCCGAGGCAACGGAGGCTCACGAGGCACAAAGGAGCACAACGCCCCCGTCCGCTTTGTGTTACACTGGCACTTTTTCGGGACGTTCAGACACTTCAACAACCCAAGGAGCAGGACTGCTGGCTGATTCGGGGCGGGAAGGACTGAACTCAGGGAAAGGCCAGGCCAAGTGCGCATGCGTACATAGGAAGGTTTCCAGAAGGGAAAGAGGGAGCAGATTAAGTTAGGAGGAGGAAAGATGGCGGAAGAGCCGCTAGGGGACCCGGAAGCACTTACCCTCCACTTCCTCCCGTTTGCCTTCTGCCTCACCTAGAGCCGTCCGGTCGCAGACTGTCTCTGAGACGCTTCCTGTCCGGTGAGTGCCGACCGACTGAAACGGCGGCCCATAATGCACTGCGATAGCATGTCGGCGGGAGGGGGCGGAGCCAAGGCCGGAAGTAGGACGGTGGCGGCGGCGGTTCTGGCAGCTCGGGACTGAGTACAAGGTGACTGGGAGGGTAGCTGGCCTGGCTGGGCCTCTTGGGACTCCGATGCTGAGTTTTTCTCCGGGGACTGGGCTGCCTATGGCCTTTGGCCTGCATGAGCGAGCAGCTCTTTTGGCCCGGGACCTTCACGGCCGGCCCCGAGGTCACTGCAGACGCCGGAGCCTTTCGGCCTTGGAGTTTGCCAAGTGGGCTTCATGGATCGCCCGGATGATAATGCCGGCTCCGAGGCCAGGCCGGGTGGTGCGGGCTGCAGGCCTCGGGGGGTTCCCGGCTGGGGCAGCCCAAGGTCATGCTCGCGGGGCAGGTCTTCGGCCAGGCCTGCCCAACCCGGGCTCGCGGGAGGTTGTTCTGAACTGTTTAGAGCAGATCATGGTGATACCCATCTTAAAGGTTTGCAGCCCTAGAAGTATAAGTGGTGCTAAAACTGTGTTAGGCGGCCGTGTTTTACACTCTTCCTGCACAGTCCGACACCTCAGCCACCCGAGGACAGGACGCTGCCTGGATGG